GAATTGTTATCGATGAGCGCGGGCGCGACTAGCGTGGTGTCGTAGGTCTAGCGACTTAGGGCAGACTGAGCTTTTTGAGTTGCGCGTTTGTCTCTTTTATACTGGAAGGGAAGAAAGGAATAGATGGACTTTCGTAGGAAAAGAGAAAGTTGGGAAAGTCCCGTGCGGGTCGAGGTGTCCAGATGTGAGGAGAATTGCTTTATTAGGGGTGCGTGATTTTTAGGGAATTTTGAGGATTAGGAACGGTATTTGTTTTATTGCTAGCGGCCGCGCTCAGGTAGAGGGATGCGACGCCACAGGTTGTTTACCCAGTAAACTATGATTTCACATACTCTGTTGTAAGACCAAAACACATAACGCTAACAATAATATTAATAATCAACTACAACCCAGCGCACCGACAACTACTAATGGTTATTCAGAACCATTACTGATAAACATACCACAACCTCTTTGAACCTCTTTGAACCAAGAAGAGTGAAATTCCACAAGTCCATCCTCAAAAGGCAATAATTTGGAGGACCAAATACAATCCAAGAAGGGGGGAGTGTAACCACCAATGTCTTTCCGCCTACAAAGGATACACCCACGACACTCCACTCCCACTCCAGTCGCTGATAAGAAGATGTATGAAAGAGGGACCCCAAACCGCAGCAGTCAGTTATCATTCCTCAGCTATCGGGAATCCATTGCTCGGACCAAGCGCTCGATATTCGTAAACTTTTACTTTTTGTAACCTTCGATACTTTTAATAAATCGTGAGAGTTGGGCTACGGCTCAGCTCTTCCTTTTTTTATATTTAGTCACGAATTATTACGTGACCCGTTCGCGGATAATCGTTTATACGACGCGTTCGCGGATAATCGTTTATTCGACGCGTTCGTTCGGCAGTCGACATTTCACTACCAAAAAATCCAGGCCTCGACCGTGGGCCCTTGTCGTTTGTCATTCGGCCGTCCGAGGAAATGACTCCCGATACCATTTTCTTCGAAGCGCAGGGTACCGCCATATGAAATAAACAAGATATGCAGAGACGTAAACTGCGGCCGAACACGTTCTAAAATCTGACCCTATTTCGGCATTTATATTAAGAACGCGAATATATGTATGATTAGTGTCTTTTTTATCGTTGTTAGTACTAAATGAAACCCTCTTGTGACATAATTTGCGTTTTGTACAATGTAAATCACATTAATCATTAATTCATACGAAAATCTTAAGCAAGAGTTTCTTACGGTTTTTGACAAGACATACCACGTAAATACCTTAGAACTGCTGTAGCATCAATTGCAAAATGTTAATTACATTTTAACATATGAAAAGTGCGATGCCCCTCCCCAAACCTTACATGTGCATAGGTAAACATAATAAAAAGAATAGATTATTAATTTATACAATATAACACACTTCTTTTTCTATACGTTTTTAATCCGGGGGCACAAAAATTCGGACAAGCCAGGAAACTGATACATCTACTCTAGTAAAACAAATTATTATTTCAACGTAGTCTCAAAAATTATTTTAAATCCTACAAACTGTACATAATTTAATAATTTATAATAATGAACTCTTGAAAATTTTCGCCTCTCTCTTTTTATAATTTTATATACAATTTAATTAAAAATCTATGGTGTACGAGTTAAATACTAGTAAAAGAAAATGCTTATTAATGTATTATTTTATCAATATAACAACGTTTCATTCAAAAATTCTCCAATAGATTCATTAACATTTTTTACTATTACGAAATTTATTAAATTCAAAGAATTGGAATTGAATAGCGAGAAAGCAGTAATAAAACGTGTCAAAAAATGCGATGAGAAAACATTGAAGGGAGAATTACTTCGTCCACTAGATGAACCCACAATTCGTATTGTTAATTGCATATATTGTTTCATCAGTAGAAGTCGGCAAAATTATTGATATGTGTTAGATTGTTATTAACACAGTACTATAACAGATTGAGGTTGTTTAGAATGACAAGTGCTCCTCATCTGTCACATGGGAATTTTTGTTTTATAACATTCAATAACAGGACCAATACATATTTATACTTTTTTAAGATTATGTTTTTTAAATTTAACAAGGCAATTATAGCATTGAATGAGGTAGAGTGCAGGTCTTATATAGCCAGAACATATCTCTTCTTCGAGGTTGTAGCTTCAGTATGATCATTGCTATCAATCTGTCCAGTAGAAGATCTTTTTCTCTGATATAAACTATCACTACAAAATTTTTTGAGTGAATTTCCCTCCGCTTTATTTCGCAATTGTGCTATGCTTTCCATACATTCGTCTTCAGACGATAGTGGTTCTTTTACATCATTCGTTCCCAAATTTTGGTTATTCACTTGGCAGTATCTAATTGACGAGTATCCACTGCGGAATTCATAAAATTGTATTCATAAAATATGTTTAAAATGATATTTCTATTCATAAATATTTATCATACACATACTTTTTTTTTCTGAATAGTTGATGGAAGCCTCTATTTTCACTTAATTCAGCTAATTTGAATAAAAACCTTTCATCATGACTAATTACGACCAGTTGAAAATTCTTCTGATATTGGGATCGTAATTTGACAACACTGTAATGTAAAACGACGTTCACGATTCATGTATTCAATTAAACTGATGTTAATACTAATGATTGCAACATACGTGGCTAATGCATCTGCTAAACTGTCTGCATTTTCTTGATCTAAATTTGTTGTTGGTTCGTCCAAGGCAAGAATTCCGCAATCTTTGCAGAAAGTCTCCGCTAAGGCAAGTCTTATAATTATAGAGGCTAGAACCTGAAATCAGCATTCTATAAATGAACAAATTTACTGTTTTTAGCAACTACGTTTCTGCTAAAGGATACTTTACTCTTTGTCCAGCACTGCAGCGACCCCTCATATCAATTTCATGACCATGTTTTGTTTGAACCAATTTATAGGTGTATGATCTTTTTGCACCACCTACAGATTTGGTAGCGTCCGTACGAATTTCTATGGAAGTAGTATCGGAACCAGTATATACAAGTTTCCACAGCCTCTTCATAATTCTGTTGACCGATGCCATACGGTCTTCGTGAAATTTTAGGACAGCTCTGTCCAGTGTTTGACTGTACACTTTCAAAGTTGATATCGTTTGTTTTACAGTCTGATTTAAGAGAGAGATAAGTTAAAGCAATATCATACAATGTCATACGAACATACTATAAAGTAGGGTATTGTTACATTACCGTTATCTCTATACATTTTCTCTTATATCTTTTATGTGCTAGTTTGTACAGGTCCTGCTTCAATTCTGTTGTACCCTGCTCTACGACTAGTTCTAATTCCTCTTGGTTACCTATTGAGATGTTTCTCTGAACAGAATTTGAAATATATTACGTATCCACAAAGAAAAATTGTTTCAGTCAATATTAAGTTAATGCATTACAGGAAACGTTAAATGTTTAGTAAATTATTTTTATCAGAATTAAAGAAAAGCAAGACCAAAAAATATCTGCAATATTGTTGTATGCTCTATTTCAATCCTTGTTGAATAAATAATTCTTTAAAATTAACTTAAATAATCTACCTGTCTCAGGAGGACTTCTTCTCGCTCGCACATGTTCTGCAACTCTTCCATAATTTGAGTATAATTTATAGACATCAACTCATTTCTTAAATCTGAATATTCTTGTTGTAAAGTTTTAGATTTCTCCCTCTCTCTCCGTAACTGTACATTATCAGATAAATTTCTTTTTAGAACTTCGTGAAGAGTGATTTGTTCTTTCAGTTTGTTTATATCTGCTTCAGATTTGCTTTTCTCAGATCGAAAATTCTTAATTGAGATTTCATAACGTTTGATCTTATTTTCGGAATGTTCTAAAGCTTCAGGAATTTTACGGTACACAAATGCATCGACATCATCTTGTATTTTTTCTAAATCGGATAAACGTCTAAACCCTTCAGCTAATATTTTTCTATCCATTTCCTGTTTCTCCCAATTTTCTTTCTTCTTCTTCTCTAATTTTTCGATTCCTAAAGTTAGATTGCCTTCGGCTACTGTACATTTTTGCTTCAAATCATCCACCAATTTCCCCAACAAAACCTCCTTCGAGTATAGTGTTTCCAGTTTCTCTTGTAACTGTTTTACTTCTTGCACACCTGCACGTATTTTTAATTGTTCTTCATGTAATGCGTTTAATTCCTCCCGAGCGTTATACAGTTTTTCATTCTGTGTATTTATCGAGGACTGCAAATTTTCGATATCACGACGAATGGTTTTCAATAGCGTTTTCAACTCATCCCTTTCTCTTTGAGCTTCTTCAATGCTACGCTCTGATTTAATGCCTAGATGTAAAAAAATATTTGTTGTAATTTGTATATTAAGCTTCAAGTATTTAAGACCACTTATATACCTGCATTAATCATGCGTGTTTTGAAACTATCAATCGTCTGTTTATGTTTTGTTATGTCATCAATGCATCTATCCCATAACACAATATCACTCATGATATTTTGGGTCAACGTTAATCTCTTTTCGGGATCAGATTTCTTGTTTTTTAATTCCGTTATAGACGTCTGTAATTTTGCTAGTTCAGATTTAGACTTTCCTAAATTATTCCTATAAATTATGATTACATTACTATAAATTTAATAAAACAAGATGAAAAGAAATACATTGAAAATAAACTTTAATATACTTACATTAAATTTTCCAGCTCATTTTCTTCAAAGTGTACTATTTTTTCGATCACTGGTTTCAGCTGCAACATCTTATCATATTTTTCTTGCTGTATTTCCAATTCTGATTCACATTTTTTTAAACGGTTTGGGTGGCTTTCCATTTCGTTTTCCATTTCCCTTAACAAATTCTCAACAGCTTGGCGTTCTTCAAAACCTCTGTGACATAAAGGGCAAGAAGGACTTGTTTCCTTCAATTGTTTTATATAATCCTTATAAGCAACTCCTTGATGAGCATATAAACCTCTTTTATCTTGTAAATCTTTTAATTTTCTGGATTGCAATAACACAGACTCATCAAAATCTTGATATTTACAAAACAAAGAAACTTGTGCTTTGTCAGCTGAAAAAGAAAAATTTATCATTGATAATGAATTGATTTCGAACTTACAAAATAGCATTTAACTCACATTCTATTTCCTTCCTTTTTTTATGAAGCTCACTCTCAACATGCGATATTGTTGTTTGTAATGTATTAGATCGAATTTCTTCCATTTGAATTTGGTGATTAATAGATTCTATTTGGCTTGTCTAGAAAATTAATGTAATCAATTTTATTAATAATAGAAATAAATTGTGGAAGTTTGTGTAATTTTAATAACAGTTTGTAAGTACCAATTCTCTTTGAGTTGTATCTACTTTATTTTTTAATTTAATTTGTGTCAGTTCTTTGACATCCACTAAGTTTTTTATAATTTCTTCATATTTATCTTTTAACTTCTGTAATTCCTTTTCCTTCGATACTAATGAATTATTATGCAATTCCAGTTCGGCTTGTAACGAACTTTGTTTTAATAATGAAGTTATTTCCTCGTCGACAGCGTTCAACTTCGCTTCGGTTTCATCTCTTAATTTTATTTTACCAGTAACTTCCTCCTTCGCTGTATTTACATTCAATGTTTCATTCAAATGTTCAATTTTAGTTTTTACCGTTTGCATTTTGGATTCTATGGTGTTTAAGTTATTAGCAGCATCTCCAAGCTTAAAATTAAATTAAATGTATTATACTAATATATGCATTCTTATCAAACAATAATTTGATACAGGTTGTGAGATATACCCGTATTTTCTCCAATTTTATTTTATGAATTTCATCTCTCGTAGCAACTACTTCACTTTCTTTCATATTTTTTTCGGATTCACTTTTCGAATATTCATTGCGCAGTATGTCCACTTGTTTTTGTAATTCTTTTTCCTCTCCTGCTCTTCTTGCTCTATTGTCCTCTCCAATGTGTTCTAACTCTTGGAATTTTTCTCGTAATCTTTTGGTTAAAGCTAGAACTTCTACAACATTAAAAACAATTCAAATGTATAGTAACTTAAAAATATCCATTTCAGTTCTGGAATATGTAATAGCATTCGAACCTATTTCCGAAACACTAGAATCTATAGTATCCAGTTGCCATGCCATTAATGCTTCATTTAATATTTTATTGCGATTAGTAACTTTTCTTTCCTGATCTTTAACTTGTTGTTTTAAAGAACCACTGGTGACATTTTCTCTGGCTAATAAATTTGATATCTTGGTCTCCTCTTCAGTAATTTCTTTTACTCTTGTCTGAAACTAAATATGTAAAAAATAAATGCAAATTCAAAGTTTGAAGATATTTATTAACTGGAAACAAGTATTGTACCTCTTTTATGGTATCAACTTTTCCTTTTAATTTTTCATCAAACGTTTCTATCTCAGCAAATAATTCTGTCATCGAACCATCAAACTCTTCTTCTATATTTTCTTCTAATCTGTCTATGTGCTGTTTACATAAATTATACTCTGTTTTCTTGCTTTCTGAAAAAAGATTGCATTTATAAACATATAAGCTTTCATCGAAAAAAAAGTTTCATAAATGTTTTAAAGGAATTACTTTCTCGAATTTGTAACTCTTTATAGTTAGTAGCCACTTTTTCAGAATTTTTAATTCTCCGAACTAAAGGTTCCAATTCATTTTTAATTTCCTCTACTTTTTCTATTGCAGTCTTCAATCGTCTTCTCTGATCTCTCAATGTTTTTTCTTTGTCTTCTACTTGAGAAACGATTATACGACATGAATTTTGTTCTTCTTGTAATAATTTCAACTTTGTAGTATATTCTTTCATCAGTTTTATGATACTTTCAATTGCTTTATTGTAATTTGTGCTGTCAAAGATTTCATCAAATTTTTCTTTTAATTTTTTGCCCTCGTTAAATGGCCAACTCAGATCTTCCTGGTGGCAAAATATAACGTAATCCAAAATTGGTTTGGACACACCCATTATTAATGAAAGTTCTGTATCGACATTAACGCATCTGTTGGTGATCGATACGACCTTGTCTGTACCCTTGTTCAGTCTACTCAATGTATTATCAAGGGTCTTTAATTTTTGTGTCCCAGTTATTCTAGAGCATTCTAGTGTTCTGCATATTGTAATTATATTTCCTTTTCTATCCACTATTTCGGCCTTTATAACAGCTCGGACCTGTACAAAAATAAGAATGCTAATGAAATGAATAGTAATAAAACTATACACGTGATAGCAAACAATTTTACCGAGGATGTCATTGTCAAAGCCGGGTCGTGTATAAAGAATTTTCCACGCTCTGAATTGGGAGGAAATTCGCCGCAAGTGACATATTTCAGTGCTTCGATAATTGTTGTTTTTCCAGTGCCATTTGGACCAAGAATAAGTGTCAGTGGTCGAGAAAATCGAATTATTGCTTCTTCGTTTTCATCGCCGAAATTACGAATACCCCGTAATGAAAGTCTTCTTATACGTGACATTGTTTATGATATACTACTGTAGTTCGAATCAAAATAATTCAACACGTTAAATAAATATATTACTTTGCGAATGATACCGTTAATAAATATAAAATATGTATAGTACACGAATTTTATTGCAATACAAATATCTACAGTTCAATGGGTGCGATTTACTGTAACCAAATGAACAGTGAAGACACCGAGTGAATGAAGTCAGCGATGAAACATTTAAAGATTTTCTAACTTAACGCCATTGGCGGTAGAGTGATGAACTTTTGGTAACTCGGTGTGCGACGGGGCAAGGAATTTTCACGTTAGGAAGGTTTATTAAAAGGGTAAAATCTAAAGGACACATTTGGTAAAAAACAACCTTCCAATCAAGTTCGAAAGAGATTCGTTGCTTACTAAGCTAGCCATATATGATGGACAGTTCGGCCAAAATATTAACTCTTACGTAAAAAAAATGTTAAGTTATGTTACAAGTGCTTTAAATTTGGGCATAGAAAAACTCAATGTAGATCTAACATCAGTCTATGCTTTATCTATGGAGATGATTATTATGGAATCTGTAATAGAGGGAGCTCGAAATGTAAATAACTGACAAAAAAGACACGCGACCACAAACAAAGACTGCATATCGTACCAGATTGAAAGTTTCCAAATAAGTCTTTCCTAGAATGGAGAAGAATTGCAATGCAAGAAGTGAGAATAAGAGGGAAAATAGACACTATACTTAGAGACGAAGATTCGTCGAATGATGAAGACGATGACATACATATAGATACAGGAAAATACCTAATAGTAGGATTCAAAAAGAAAAGCACAATTAATATAAAAAAAAGTGGGAAAACAAACCTGCACTCATTCAAAAAAAGTAATCCTCATGGGATAGAAGCAAGGATAAAGAACAATGGGATGAGATGAGAAGATCTGGAAGACAAATAAAGAAAGGAATAGAAATGGTAAAGAGAGTAGAAGAAGGAGACAGAATAATCAGAAATAAACATAGCTTCGAATGGAATAAAATAGACAATAGCACTAGCTTGAGTGAGCAGAGAGAACAAGAAATTAGGGTAAAGCAAGTAGACTCAAAGAAGGAAGAATGATAGATGAAATTTTTTATACGTGGCAAAAGCATGCGACATTACGGAGACTAGCCAATAAATTACAAAAAACAAAAGAACGAATAAGGAAAGAAACGTCAACAATCTTGAAGAAAACAATAGAGAATATAAAACAACTGAACAAGGGAACAAATTGACATGGAATAAAGAAGTAGCACCCGAAACCTCTCAAGGAAAAATTAACGCGAGAATAAAGAATAAAATCATACCCAACAATGAAAACCACAAGCACTAAAGAAGACAAGAAAGATGAACTCTTCTTTCGTACTGGACGGAGTTTTGCCGGCGATTAAAAGGGACGAAATAATTTGGACAGTCACGTTTAATGTGTATAAATACACATAATATAGTATAGACACTCAAAATATATTTACGATATAAACCGATAACAAATTTTTAGCGAACTAGATAACATTGAACCATCAAACTCTTCTATATTTTCTTCTAATAACATTTTTTATATTATGTTTTCTTCTAATTCTTATTTTCTACTTGTGGAACAATTAAAGGACAAGAATTCTGTTTCTCTTGGAAATAATTTAATATTTGTAGTCAATTCATTCATATATTTTATAGTACTTTCAAGTGCTTTTTATTAAGATTTGTATTGTCAAATTTTTAGAGATATTTGTTAACCGTTGTTCTTTTTACATAGTTTTATGGGAATATATTTGTACGAAGATATTGAAGACCAGTTCAATTGACAAGAAAGTGTCTACACCAGCAATAAAAGGATTAGGATACCTATGGAAACTACTTTAGTGTGAACCCTGGCACATGCTAGGCCTTTTCGACCTCAGGTCCCTGGCAGGACCGGCCTGGCGCCGAGTGGTTTACATCCTTCTGTCTTTCACAGGCTCCTCTATTTAGTAATAACAGCTCTTTTTAGGGCCTCGAATGAAAGGAAAATTCGTCCTTATTCACTCTAAGAGTGAGAATGTCGATGCCCAAATAAAATACACTTTTCCACGTAACCCAAACCTACAAATAACACAGCCATTTCTTGATATTTGTAGATTGCGGATCAAACTTTTTACTAGACGTGTTGAAATTGTTTCATATTGCTTTTTAACATTTTTTCCAGTAAATTGTTCCAATCTTCAATAATTCCTAATTCTAATTCTCTAAAACTCTGAGTTTGAGAATTCTTTTGTAGGTAATTACTAAATTAAATATGTTATTTTTTTTAAGAGAAAATGAATGTGAGTTTCCGCTTTGTTTTCCAAATATTTAAAAGTAAAAATCATATAAAATTGCGAAATTATTCGTTGCTTTCAAAACTCCTCGTAGAGTAGAATATTGATTGCCAGCCGTCACAGTTGACAAGTATTAGGATGATTGAATTAACAATATTTTGTAGATTATATACTAGAAAGTAGTAGCTAAAATGTAGCTTACAGATTTTCAAAAGTTTTAATAATTGTAGAAATGGTCATCATTTCAAGGTGACGTTTCAATGGCTATCCTACGGGACGAAACGTATAAGTCGAATATCGCGCCGAGTGTTTCAGTTGAAGCGTACAGTGAGACCGCCTAGGTTTCTCGTCTGTGTGGACACTCGACATATAGAGCTCACAGGTTTCTTTCTCTCTCTCAATCAGACCCCGTTCTCTTTCTAAACCAACTGCACGGAGTTGGATGTGCATTAAAATGGTGGGGATAAAAGTGCTCGGAAAGAAACTCGCTATGAGGAGGTACATACTCCATAGTACATAATGCAAGTATGGACTATAGGTTTGGATAAAAAAATATGTTTGCCCAAGTATGGACAATATACATATAGAATATATTGTAATTTTTGCACTCCCGTATCCCGTTTTCAATTGAGCATTACTAATGTAATCTACGAACTCACGCCAAGTTACCAAAAGTTCATCACTACACTGTCGACGGCGCTGAGTTACAACACTGGTTGTATGGTTGATTCATTTATTCCCCTAATCTAACCATGGGCATGGTCCTCATTTAACTCTGTTCATAACATAACCTTAAAACTTAATATGTACAATGTTTACACGTGACACTAAATGTTAAGCTTTATTTTCAAAAGTATTACGATATGTATTCATTTTGGCGTTCTTTATTTATTGCAATAAATGGTAAATACATCTCAGAAATAATAAATTAATATACCTTGGAGCTGTTAATGTTATTTATCTGATACATATTTAATTGTTGTATTCACTATGATGAGTGAAAGAAAGTTCGAAGAAGAAAATAGAAACAAACAAAATAGCGGTGATTATCCTTTGGAAGTAATACAAACCAAACGAATTCTGTCTCGTTTTAAATCAGAGACTGGTGAAATATATATTACTTGATGGTTTATTAGATTTACCTATAAACATATCTATTGACAAATTGCAAACAATCTTTAATGCTCTTCTACAAAATGAGGAAACAGTATGTTTTGCATTTTATGTGAACGATGTAGAAATTACAGACACTTTAGAAAAAGATATAAATGAAAACTTTAGCATTAGTGAAGATGTAATTGAAATTATATATCAACCACAAGCAATATTTAAAGTTAGAGCAGTTACTCGATGTACTGGATCATTGGAGGGTAANAAAAATATGTTTGCCCAAGTATGGACAATATACATATAGAATATATTGTAATTTTTGCACTCCCGTATCCCGTTTTCAATTGAGCATTACTAATGTAATCTACGAACTCACGCCAAGTTACCAAAAGTTCATCACTACACTGTCGACGGCGCTGAGTTACAACACTGGTTGTATGGTTGATTCATTTATTCCCCTAATCTAACCATGGGCATGGTCCTCATTTAACTCTGTTCATAACATAACCTTAAAACTTAATATGTACAATGTTTACACGTGACACTAAATGTTAAGCTTTATTTTCAAAAGTATTACGATATGTATTCATTTTGGCGTTCTTTATTTATTGCAATAAATGGTAAATACATCTCAGAAATAATAAATTAATATACCTTGGAGCTGTTAATGTTATTTATCTGATACATATTTAATTGTTGTATTCACTATGATGAGTGAAAGAAAGTTCGAAGAAGAAAATAGAAACAAACAAAATAGCGGTGATTATCCTTTGGAAGTAATACAAACCAAACGAATTCTGTCTCGTTTTAAATCAGAGACTGGTGAAATATATATTACTTGATGGTTTATTAGATTTACCTATAAACATATCTATTGACAAATTGCAAACAATCTTTAATGCTCTTCTACAAAATGAGGAAACAGTATGTTTTGCATTTTATGTGAACGATGTAGAAATTACAGACACTTTAGAAAAAGATATAAATGAAAACTTTAGCATTAGTGAAGATGTAATTGAAATTATATATCAACCACAAGCAATATTTAAAGTTAGAGCAGTTACTCGATGTACTGGATCATTGGAGGGTAAATTATTTGCATGTTTACTTATATTCACTTATAGTGGTTTATTTATTTTCAATATTTTGATTACAGAAGATATGTATATTCTTATTGGTATAATATGAATAAATTTTAAATATCAAGAAATATTGTAATGTTTTCTTTATTTCAACAATGTAATTTCTATTTTGTCTATAAATTTAATCCAATCGTAAATTATTTAAAGCAGTTATGATATTTTTTATGGAAGTATTATAAAGCAAAATGCTAATGGTATTTGAATTAATTTTTACTTTCCATAGGACATCATAACAGAGATATTAGGTGCGGTTCTAGCTAAATGAATAATAACAGCTAATGTATAATAACAGCCTGTATAATAACAGCTAACTGCTACCACAATATTCTACTATAATATTCCAAATTTTGTAAAAAAATTTGCGAATATCCTGGAATTCTCGTTGAAGTTTTCCTACTTTAATATACATGGTGTCAAGAAATTATGTATATGTGACGACCGTTACAGTGTAATTTTGCAGTTTAAATTAAATTTAATAATATAATAATAATAATAATAATAAAGTTTAATAGTGTAAATTTACGTTTTATTTGCTACTAATTTTTTGTTTAATTAATTCAAAAGTAGATATTACTAATGCTGCAGCTAAAATGTTATGGCCCGTTTCGGTTCTACTGATCTCTCAAACATCATATATGTATATACAATTCCATCGCGTTTCTGTATCCATAATCAATTTACGATTAGGTACATTAATTAAATCTCGCGTTTCTGGCAATATATCAGACTTGTCACGAATGCGGCATATATGTATATCAGGTACACTGTTGATGGGATGTTAGTCGTCGATGGTTCAACTAATATAATTGTAGCTTTCATATTAACTGCATAAGATCGAGCGGCGATAACACATCCAGTGGGAAAGAAATGTATGTGGAGATCCTTTAAAACGGTATAACTTTTTTCAAATTTAACGAAACATTTCGAGTTTTTTTTAAATGTTACAGGGACTAGTACTTGTGACAGTTATAGACTCACATAAAAAATTTTAAAAAGTTTTTATTTTTTTGTTATTTCAAGCAATAACTACATTCAAAAAAAGTATTTTAGTAATTAGGGCATGGGCGAGTCACGATCCATGACTCGTCCTTCAGACACCTACGAGACACGAAAAACGATATGACATTGTTTCTTCTGTGTTCCACGCGGGGCTGTTCATGTTATTTGTAGTAATGTACACAGAGTAGTAGAGTAGTAGTGGAGTAGTGGCTTGTGGCTTCGATCATTGCCGAAATAACTCGCTCATGCCTGATCTAGTAGAATGATCGTCCTATCTCCTAAAAAAATATAATTCATGTAGTCCACTTTTCAGAGAATTATCATTCTAAAGGTAAATATGTTTGTCCATCACTGTATAAGGAAAAGTTATTCAGAACGATAACGTTGACAACACATTTCAAGCCCATAAAAATCGATGATGGATCTTATGATAGAATTAAAATTCCCAGAGTGCAACACTTTTTGTTTTTCAAAGATCTGTATTTTTGCGATTTCTTCTTTGGTTTTTAATTTTTTGCTACTGCAGCTTGCAAACGAAAACGCTGTAAAAATTTTCTGATGTGTAGCTTGTAATCTAAAATAGACCACATTTTATTCAAAATTTTAAGGAGTCACTGAAATGGAAAAATGAGTGGAGAAGTGTGTCATCTAATTTTCTCTGTAGTTACTTATTCGCAAGGGCAAGTTCCAGGGTTAAAAAGGTATATAGATGCTTAAGGGGTTCAAAACTGTCCTTTAGTTGATTTAAACGGCTGCTATGCCATTCGATAGATTATAAAAAGAAAACGTTTTGTTCAAAGTTTTAACCCTCTATCGTGACTGGAGGGGTAGTTATTGGTTGCCCGTTTCACTTTCTAAATGCCCGCATTGATTGTGAAAATAATGTGGCATGTCACGGCTGTCGAGATTCATGGTTGAGAATTTGTTTAGACATTTGCGTCAATGATCCCGGTTTTATGAAATGAAGAACTTCAAAAAACGCAGTTTCCTTATCGAAGTAGAAATCGCACGCCTACTGTACATTTATAGTAACAATATATTATCAGAATTGTAGCTTCAAAATTTTCCGGATTTTTCTATTAGGTGCGCCATGATTTAAAGGGTCATAGATGATCATAATATTTATTGATGTCGACAGATGCTGACAAGTAAGATAGTATGTGAAGATAACAATATGCCTGAAAGACTAGAACATCAGAATGATTTAGTATGTAAACAGAGGCTGAGCAATGGTTAGTTATTTTCTTTTAAAGAAATTGAAAACTGACTTAAGGATGGAGTAGCAATTAATACTCTAAATACAAGCGGCAAAACAGTTTTGAATATTGCACGTGAGAAAAATTATGAACGTTAATTACATTTCTTTTTGCATTAGATTGTAAGACAGCATTAGATGCCGAATTTGAAGATAATGATAATAATTGCATGGCAGTTTTGCATACGGCTGCTAAATCTGGTCACGTAGACACGATTAAATTTCTGATAAATGAAAAAGCGATCTATTTTAATATTAAAGACAATGCTGGCATGATAGTTTTGCATACGGTTGCTGAATCTCGACAACTGGACACGGTTAAATTACCGGAGGATGAAAAAGATGTCGATTTTAATGCTAGAGACAATTGTGACAGAACAGCTTTGCACGGGGCTGCTGCATCTGGAAACTTGGAGATGGTTAAATTTCTGATAAATGAAAAAGCGGTCGATTTTAATGCTACAGACATTCATGGCATAACAGTTTTGCATGCAGCTGCTAAATCTGGTCACTTGGACACTGTTAAATTTCTGATAAATGAGAAAAAGGTCGATTTTAATGCTAAAAACAAATTTGGCATAACAGTTTTGCACAAAGCTGCTATTTCTGGTAACTTGACGATGATTAAATTTCTGATAAATGATAAAGCGACTGATTTTGAAACTAAAGACTATGACGGCAGAACAGTTTTGCACTGGCCTGCTCATTCTGGTAACTTAAAGATTGTAAAATTTCTTATAAATGAAAAAATGGTCGATTTTAATGCTAAAGACAAATTTGGCACAACGGTTTTACATAGGGCTGCTATGTCTGGTAACTTGAGAATGGTTAAATTTTTGACAAATGAAAAATCGGTCGATTTTAATTTTAGAAACGATGATGGCATGAACGTGGTTAAATTTCTGATTGATGAAAAAGAAGTCGATTTTAATGCAAGAGACAATCATGGCAGAACAGTTTTACACACGGCTGCTAACTCTGATAACCTGGAGACAGTTAAATTTCTGATTAATGAAAAAGAGGTTGATCTTAATGCTAGAGACAATCATGGTAGAACAGTTTTGCACACTGCTGCGAATTCTGGTAACCTGGGGATGGTTAAATTTCTTATAAATGAAAAAGTGGTCGATATTAATGCTAAAGACAGTGATGGCATGACAGTTTTACATACGGCTGTTAAATGTGGTCACTTGGACGCTGTTAAATTTCTGGTGGATGAAAAAGAGGTCGATTTTAATACTAAAGACAATCTTGGCCGATCAGTTTTGCACACGGCTGCTAACTCTGGTAACCTGGAGATAGTTGAATTTCTGATAAATGAAAAAGAGATCAATTTTAATGCTAAAGGCGATGATGGCAGAACAGTTTTGCATACAACTGCTAAATATGATCACTTGGTGACACGGGTAAAGGAAGAAAAGGTCGATTTTAGTGCGGAAGATATTAATGACTGCTCATTTCTATAGTTGAATTCCTAAGAAATAAGGAAACTGTCGTCTATCAGGAGAAGCTTTAACATCATTAGTTACTTCAGCAAGTATTTGCAAGCTGAGAGATAGTAGCAGTTCTATTTCACACTCTTGTGTGACACGGTGTCACATGATGTTGTGTGAGATGGAGATAGAATCAGGCAAACAAAATATTGCGAAGATGGAAAAATGGCATGAAGTGAGAAAATATGGATCTTTTTAATAAGGCTGTATTTATAATAAATCAATGATCAAATGTGTTGTTTTAAGCAATATATGATACACAGAGTATATTCTTTCTGAATAATCATCATGCTGCCAAAGAAGTGTTTCGTATAGGAATTATGTATTCTTCAGTGATCTTGACTTTGTAAAATTGACTTCACAATTTTGTAGCTGAAGGACTGCTTCAATTTACTATAACCATTACCTTTAGATGACTTTAAATTCAAAAACTTAGATACAATCAACAGAGACGGTATTATCGTTATATTGTTAGATTTGTCTACCAGTTTTATTAGTTTATTGTGAATATGTAATTGGATTAAGAAATTATCAAATAATTTTCCATATTATCGTATTTGTTAATCAAACCAGCATTTCTGAACTCAAGGTGATGTGAAATCCAAAATATATATCATTTAACGCGAAAGTCAGGCTTGCCTTAAGATTTTTAGGGAAAACATAATTTGCTTTGTATTCAAAACATTTTGTTCACAGATTATTGGAAATGTCTAAAAAATGGTGGTTCATGTTAATAAATAAATTCTACATTTAGCTTCGCAAGTTTTAATTTGAATAATCAATCTGAAAATACATGCTATGTATTTCGTCAGTTTTTATTTTTGTTTCACTTTGGCATACAGAATGGCTTTCTAGGCTGGCTTCGGACGACCGGTTGGCGGCCATTTGCCGTCGCGGCAATCTGTCGCCGAGAAAATCGACTACAGCTTTGTGTTCCGCGTTTTGCCAATACAGTAATTGATATGAAGTAATTTACACGAGACGGCAATTTGGCGGCAAAGTCGTGGTTTATTAAAACAAGGGCGCACTAAAAATATGCAGACGTGTTGTTTGTGGCAATCTGACGCCGCGTTTTAGCGGAATATAGATGTCATAGAAGACGTCCCCCAAAAATCAAACGAATCAGAAAAATTTATACTTTTCAAAAAGAAAAACATAGCAAAGATGTTCAAATGCGACCGAGGTTTTGCAACTGTCATTTTACTGCCTGCACTGGAGTTCTGCTGCCCATGGTGTCCCTCACAAAAAGGGAAAGTATCGTTTAGGATACGTCACAATGATATTATACAATTAAATGAAATAATTTTGATATGGCATCTTACCAATGTCACTTATAAAATACTTCATGAAACAATTTCTTATTAATTTTAATTGTCGGCCTCCTTGCACAATTGTTGAATTATTATTAAATTCACGGAAACCTGTGATGAAAATAAAGTAAAAAACAATGCGGATCGTATAAGTAAAAAATAATTATTTCCAATGATAGAGTAAGTATCTTCTTCCTGATAACCATCACGGTCTGTAACAAAATTTTGTAGGACGCAACAACATTTAACAGTGTCTATTGCAAAATTCAACATTCAAAGCTCTATGAAATATACGCCACTTATTAGATAAAATCGCAAATGTTGATTCTACAGATCTTCTGGCACGACCAAACCTATAATTAAATATTCTTTTTTCATTTGTAGCGGTCATCGATTCATGGCACTGTGGACGATGGCTGTACAGATCCCCAACGGACACGAGCAACAGTAAAGCTATCTTTAAGGAAACCGTTCGAACGCGTACTGGTAGCATTATAGAGTAAGCATGTTTTCCGTTCTTTAGAATCTTTTGTTTTCGGTCTCAATAGCAAATGCTGGTGTCATAAACTCGGGATTTCCAAAGGGCCCGCGGACAGAGACCCAGCGGCCCACAGCTGACTCGCAGCTGATCCGTGACCGCATCTCGTGTCGAGCAGGCCTGGAGGAAATTCCGTTATCGTGGTAATAAATTCGTAGTCACGGTCAAAAAGCTATAGAAAAAGACGCGACACTAACACCAGGAAAAGGAAGACAACGGGCCCTTACCTATGACCTGATTGATCAGCACGTTACTTAGCGTTAACCAATTAGAGAAAATCGTGACGTGACGTATCTCCGGTTTACCAGCAAGCAAGGGTACAAAAATGTAAGTACTCTTGCTATCGACGTGGTCGGGTGAAGATCGTCTACAGAGAAAATAAAATGCCGTGTACACACACACACACACACACAAATCAAGATTACATCATATTTGATAAAAATTTTCTGCTGTATGATTTTAACCCTTTGCACTCGACATTATTTCAACTCCAAAATGATGATATTTGTATTTCCATATCGTATGATCGTTTTTATTGGATGCATTGGAAATTGAACCTGTTGGCTTCCGTTTTTTTCCTTTTTTTTTTAATTTACCGAATGCAAGCTTGAATAATGAAAAAATTCTCTTAAAATATAGTGTAACAATTTTTAATGTCACCTTAGGGTCGTCAATCGAGTGCAAAGGATTAAAACTTGGTCCGAGAGAGAGAGAGAGAGAGAGAGAGAGGGAGAAGGCTTCATTGCCAACAAACATGTAGGGAATCGGTGATATATTTTCCCTGGTAGTGGTTTCTCGGAAGGAATACATATTATCTTTCACAGTTCTCGGTAATTTATATGTATGTTGAAAATTTGATTGAAATCAGTTCACGATCTTATGAGTTACAACAAATTAAAGATCGCAAAAATCACAGTTTTATCACGTTTTTGATAAAAAAAACTGTAAGANGGATGCATTGGAAATTGAACCTGTTGGCTTCCGTTTTTTTCCTTTTTTTTTTAATTTACCGAATGCAAGCTTGAATAATGAAAAAATTCTCTTAAAATATAGTGTAACAATTTTTAATGTCACCTTAGGGTCGTCAATCGAGTGCAAAGGATTAAAACTTGGTCCGAGAGAGAGAGAGAGAGAGAGAGAGAGGGAGAAGGCTTCATTGCCAACAAACATGTAGGGAATCGGTGATATATTTTCCCTGGTAGTGGTTTCTCGGAAGGAATACATATTATCTTTCACAGTTCTCGGTAATTTATATGTATGTTGAAAATTTGATTGAAATCAGTTCACGATCTTATGAGTTACAACAAATTAAAGATCGCAAAAATCACAGTTTTATCACGTTTTTGATAAAAAAAACTGTAAGAAATGTACAGTTTTTAAAATCGTTCGACGCCTATAGCTCGACTCTGGATTAACCGATTTCGATCAAATTTTCAGCACGCATATAAGTTACCGAGATCTACCAGAGGCATTTTTTGACTTTTTGTTATAGGCTCAGATAAGAAATTAAAAAACGAGAGTTTTTTATTTTGTTTGTCATTCCAAGTAATAGGAAAATTTAAAACAAGCATTTTGATCATCGTCTGGTAGATTAGTTCCGCTATCATCAGAAAAAAATTTAAGTCCCTTAGTCCAGTTTTAAAAAAGGTATTGCATTTCAATTAACTTGCTTCCTGTGCAAGGAGGAAGGTGATTTAGCAAAATATTACGAAAATGAAACCCTTCATCAAAGTATATCAAGCAAATTTTATAGATTAAATATATGTACTTCTGTCGATAGAGCATCAGCTTCATCTTCAAGGAAAGTTCCTCCAGTTGATAGCAAAGAAACAATGTATTGAAATCACAGAAAAATGTTTTTAAATTGCTTACAATTGCTGCTCATAAGCGAACACTTTCATCTTCGGCTTCTTCCAATGACGACACACAAGGGCAGAACATCGCTAAAGAATCCACAACTGAAACTACGTCCACTGTCAAATTACTTGATATTATAAAACCACAACACGAAAAGCCGAAGAGTTCACTCTCACCTCCGGAAACTAATAAATGTCTTGAACCTGCAAAGCAATACATCACTGACCATAATTACATGTTTTCTATCAGCTATTGTAACCTTGTCAAAAGCGTCGACAGTACAAATTTACACAATTCGGTTCAAGAAAGCACGAACGATATTCTGGGTCTCATCTGCATTCTGATAAGCACGCATGATCGTATAGAAAACAGAAGGCTTAAAAACCAAATCACTAGAATCATAAAAACAAACTGAACAACTCAAACAAAAAGACCTCCTCCATAGAAGACGAATAAAAAGGGCCCTGCAGCAAAGAAGACTACAATTTACGGCTCCTCTTTTGGAATGCAGAGAGTACAATACCACGTACAGAAGAACTGGAACGTATTCTGAAAGGCATAGACATATTTGTATGTGTAAAGTCCTGGTTAAAACTGAACAAAAATCTTAAGTTTACAGATTTTAACACATACAGAAAAGACAGAGTATAGTATAGTGCTATTGATCCGCAAAAACCTTGTTTTTACGGAGGTTACAAATCTATGTGTTCCTGATGACTCTGTTGAGATGTATGGTATAAAGCTTACAAATATTAGTCCGTGCTTAAAAATTATAGTGTATTACAGAAATCCAGGTCTTGTTCTTTCGCAGCATCAATGGGAACAAATCATTAGTAATGCAAGGTAATTCGCAAGGTAATTCACACCATGAGCTATGAAATTATTCTATCACAGATGGTAACGGCAGAAATCTCTTACAAACTAATTCAACATCATGATCTCCTACTGCATAATACAAATACATCTACACATGTAGACGTCTGCGGAGCTAAAATGTCAAACATAGATCTTATTTTATCTACACTGAACATAGCGAATAAAATATACATATACACGAATTCATGACGAAACCTAGGGATCCGACAAATATTTATCTGGATATAGAGACTGAAAAAGTTTACTATCGCAAAAAGTCCTACAAACTTAATTCCGTTTGCATTAACTGCGAGAAAATACCCCTATTTCTTAAAAAATTCTTATATAAAATTTTTCTCCTCTGAGTATGACTTGCTTTCGGCGAGCGAAAAATACAAAATGCTCATTAATTTAATATTGAAAGCTATATAAGAATTCACACCAAAAAAAAGACAGACGTTAGACGTTTTGTTCATAAAAACCTAATCTCGTGGTGGGACAATGACTGTAATAAGATGAAAAGATTTAAAAAAGCAGCGTTTAAGAAATGGGACATACAAAGGAACTTCCCGACTAAATAAATTATAAGAAAATAGTTATAGCTTAAACCAAAAGATTACAAGCAAAAGTACGAAAGTTAATACACATTGAAGAAGACAACAGAGCAAGAAGAGCAGGAGAGGAAGAAGAATTATAAAAAAAGTGGATATATTACATAATTAATATTCGAAAACTGAAGCGGAAAAGAGCATGAAAAAAAAGTAAAGTAGTTGCGGGTATATCTCACAAATTCTATCAAATTACTATTAAATAAAATTATATACAGAGGAATGGCAGAAAATGCGGTATCTAGAAGAAGTCCTNCTAAAGGAACTGAGAGAAGAAGTTTGGAAGTTTGAAAGTTGAATAATGAAATTTATCTAATAACATACTTATTCATAAAGCGAAGGAGAATTATAAAAGTTTACAAGAATGTTTGGGGTTAAATAATGAATCGACATTTACCGATATTAATAGTACCGCAGTGATAAAAGAGTTGCAGGAGATGCGCAATCGAGAAGAGGTCCTCCTGAGATAGGTAGATTATTTAAGTTAATTTTGAAGAATTATTTACTCGACAAAGATTGCAATACAATCTCTAGCGTACAACAATATTGTAGACATTTTTTGGTCTTAATTTTCTTTAATTCTGATAAAAATAA